CTAAATTAAATTATAATTAAAAAATGAATTTTTAATACACAACAAATAAGAATTTTAAATAGTTAATTTGATACTAATATCGATATATTTTTGTCAATTTTTTATGATATTTTCAAATTTACATTTTATTCAAAAATAAAAATATTATCGTTTTTTCAAAATCACATAAGACCATTCTATAACATTGCCTTAGATAAAGAATAAAATGACATATTAAAATCAAGATGTATCTCGCTGTATTGCACGAGTACCCTTCTAGTCCAATTAGCAGATGTCAACAGCTTTTTAGAATCATTACCCAATAAGATAAGTGATGAAATTGATAACTCTTTTCAACAAGGGTTTGTCAATCAAGCTTTTAGAATCGTTCAAAAAACCTATACAACTTTTATTAGAAATCCAACATCCTGGTTCAATTTTAATCGATCAAAAAACCTATATAACTTTTATTGAGAACTTAATATCCGAACCTGGTTTAACCTTAAAATGACCCATGAATAGCAGACACGTGGATGAAGAATCGTGAGTTTAGAAATTGGAGAGGGGGAAGAGGATATCCCTCGACCTAACAAATTTTATAATTAAATAATAAATTATATGTGTATATATATATTATGAGAACTTTAATTAGATAATATTGTTTCTTATTATTCTTTTACATTTAAATTTTGGTTTTAAGATATCAATTAATATGTATTTATTTTATAATGTGTTTGTTTTGTACATATTCAGGGATTGTTTACCAAACGCTTACCCGGTAAGTGTTTACCGGTAAAATTTAACACTATTATTTACTTACCGGGTAAGATTTTAGTCCACTAAAACGACTTCGTATGCAACAATTTACCCGGTAATCGCTTACCATGGTAAGAGCCGTCGTTTTCACTTACCGGGTAAGACTCTGTATCCTTGTCTCGCTCTTACCAAATAAGATTATCCCTTAACGTATTCATCCAGTAAGGTAATATGACTTGATAAACACTAACCGGATAAACGTTTGGTAAATGACTCATTGGTTTATAATATAAATCTTTTTACATGTATTTTTGGTTTCATGATAATGTAAAATAGTTTCACATTATTAAACAAATATATGTTAATTAATATTTTAAAAACTCAAAATTTTAGATTTAAACTTTTTATGTGAAATAATATATTATACACTATTTCTCAGGGTTCTCACAGTTTTACAGGTTTTCAAATGATTAACATAATACATATAGGCGAGGTTCAAATGAGAAACACTAAATATATGAGAAATAGAGAAGCAATCCCAGTTTTTTTAGATTAAATGATCAAATTTTATTAAATGAAGGGTAATATGGTAATTAACAATTCTATCATCGATAGAATTAGAGGAGCGTAAAGATCTCAATTGTATCATCGTTTTTTTCTCTCGATTCTTTCTCGATCATATATCGCAAATCAAATCCAGTTTTAGGACAATTATGTTATTGATTTTTTCTCGATCATATATCGAAATTCTAGGTTATCAAAAATCTTTATTTTTGAATAAAGTATAAATTTGAAGAATTTATAAAAAATTGAAAAAAAATATATATATCAATGTTAATATCAAATCAACTATTTAAAAGTTCTCATTTTTATGTAATTTTTTTAATTTATTTTTTAATTATAATTTAATTTAAGTTTAATAATAAAATAATTTATTTTTGGTTTAATA